TGTATTTGTTTTCAAATTCCTGTTAGATTTTTTTTTTCAAATATAGTTTTTAATTATCAGTAAAAACATCTTAATGGGAAACGCAACAATTACACCTTTATTTTTTATCACTAAACAGCATTTTGACCAGATGCCTGGATATTTTGATAACTTGTCTTTGGTTTAAAGTTCACCTTTCTCCTTTGCATCACTCTAATCTCTGCTCCATCACCCCAACTTTTTGCTGGATTTGTCATTGTTTGTTTTCAGTATGAGTTTTTTTCTTTAAAGTTAGAAATGTTTATTATCAAACATTTTTTACAGTAAAAATAGAGTTGTACACTAATGCATGTTTTTAATTTAATTGTATTTTTTTTATTTTATTTGTTGCTTAGCAAAGATTTTAAAAAAAGCCTTAGTAGGGGCTTTATAAATATATTTTATTTATTTATATGATTTTTTTGAGAGCTCCCTTCCTATTTACATAAGCACCTTGTTGAATTTATATTTGCTTTGTCTTTGATGTAACTGTAAAACATGACACCTCAGCCTCAAACTGTCATACACCAAAACAAAATTTGTTAAAAAACACTATTTTAAGATCAATTTAAAAATAATATGAGGATTTTCTTTATTTGTTGCAGAGAGCCAAAAAAGCTCTGCCTTTGTGAACAAGGAGTCTGTGCAGAAAGAAGTGAAGACCACTTTGTCCCAGAAAGCCACTCTGAGCTGCGAGGTTGCTGACAGCAAGACAGAGGTGAAATGGTTCAAGGATGGCAAGCAGCTGACATCCAGCAAAACAATCCACACAGAATCCAAAGGCAAGAGCCGTCAGCTGGTGATAGACAGCATGGAGAGAAAAGATGCTGGAGAATACATCTGTGAGGCTGGAACAGAAAAAATGGCCTTTAAGATACATGTTGAAGGTAAGGATTTTCAATACTGAATATATTGATATTAGATGAATAAACCCTCAGTACTTTTCTTTTACTACTTTTACAGAAATCCAACATAAATCAGCCTTCTCCAACAAAGAGTCGGTCCAAAAAGAGGTGAAAGCCTCTCTGTCGCAGAAAACCACACTGAGCTGCGAAGTTGCTGATGCAAAGACTGAGGTGAAATGGTACAAGGATGGTAAGCTGGTCACATCCAGCAAGACCATACATGTAGATGCAAAGAGCAGAGTTCGCCAGCTGGTGATTGACAGCGTAGAGAGAACGGATGCTGGAGAATACATCTGTCAGGCTGGGACTGAAAAGTTGGTCTTTAGGGTTCATGTGGCAGGTAGGAGGAAACAATACAGTACTTATTACTATTGTTGGAATGTAATATTATGTCAACTATCTTTTATAGCTTAAATAAATAAATATTCATTTGCTATGAAGGGAACAACAAAAAAGACAGAGGAAACTTTCAGACTGAATCAGTAAAGATTTGGCTTTTTCAAAGGGTTAAATAAAATGGTAAAAAATTTACATTCTTACATTAAAGCTGAGATTTTCAAAAAGTTGCCATTGTTTCTAAATGTTGCATGTCCCAAATGGGACATACCGGTAGGTTGAAAGCTTAGCTGGATACAGAGGAGTAATGACTATAACTCATTCAGAAGAAAATTCAGACTTTCTCACAGTGTGAAAGATCTGCAGACATGTTAAAAAAAAACAGATCGTTTTTTTAGCCTCCTGCATCCGTGTACTTCTTCTGAGTCACTGATTCAAAAAATATTTAACTATGCTTAGACATAATGTCTACGCTGAAGAGTTACTCTGAGTACACTGGAAAAACAATCTAAAAATAAGTTAAAATTTCTTAAATTAGGTGTATATACCCTTAATTTAAGTAGGTAAATGAGATAATTTGCCAATACAATGAGAATTTCTACTCTTAAAATGAGATAATTAGATAACATGCACTTAAAATAAGACAATGCAATTGTGTTTTCTTATTTTAATCTAAATTGTCTTGTTCCATTGGCAAAATGTCTCTTTTATCTCGTCAATTTAAATTTTAGATTTTTTACAGTGTAGGTACCACCACTGTAGCAATGGTATGTTCACAAATGACCTACATTTTAAACTTCCAACCAGCTGAACTGTCCAATACTTGTCATCAAATGGTTTCTTAGTGTGTTTTTAGCTAAACGATACTCTGGTAAAGCCTTTTTAGATGAACTGAAGCACACTTTAATTTGAAACACTTTTATCATTTGCTTTCTAGAGCCTCCAGCTGTTTTCTCCAACAAGGACTCAGTCCAGAGAGAAGTAAAAGCTGCTCTCTCTCAGAAAGCCACTCTGAGTTGTTCCGTTTCAGACTCTAAGATGGAGGTGAAGTGGTTCAAGGATGGGAAGCTTCTGACCTCCAGTAAGGGGATCCTCATTGAGTCGAGGGGAACAACTCGTGAGCTGGTAATAGAAAAAATGGAAAAGAAGGATGCAGGGGAATACAGCTGTGAAGCTGGAAATGAGAAGCTGGTATTTAAGCTCCACTTGACAGGTACCAGTTTATTAAAAACATATACTGAAGTGATCATTTCCTGCAACAAAAGATCTAAAACTGGTATTTTTTGTAGATGTGGCTGTCAAGTTCAAGACCAAGCCTGCCAAGGATACAGTTATCATTGAAGCAAATGAAAATATAGTTTTAAGAACTGAACTGACCACAGAGGCTGGAAGTGTGAAGTGGTTAAGAGATGGTGTAGAGCTAAAGGAGAGCAGCAAGTATGAAATACGAAAAGATGGGCTTTCACGCACTTTGATAGTGAAATCAGCAGAGACCAAAGACTGTGGAACATATTCCTGTCAAACTTCCAATGACAAAGTGGAATTCAAAGTTCAGGTTAAAGGTGGGTCAGATTAAAGTGTTTCTGCGTCTGTCCTTGGACATATTTAAAATTCTTTTCACCTGCTACCCTCTGTTTTCATTTCAGATTCAGCTTTGAAGTTTGTTGTTCCTTTGAAACCTGCTACGGTGGAGTTAGGAGGAACTCTTAGCCTAATTTGTGAGCTAAATCAGGTCTCAGGGGATGTTGTCTGGCAGCATGAGGGGCATGAAATTAAACCTGGAAACAGGCACTGTGTCAGAACAGATGGAGCAAAAAGGGTCCTCACTGTGACGGCGGTTACTAAAGAAGATGAAGGAGAATACAGCTGTGTGTGTAAGACTGACAAGACATCTGCTAAAGTATTGTCTAAAGGTAATGACCTTCACTTTTCAAGACTGAAATCAGGATATGACTGTATTTAAAGGTGCACACCAGGATTATATTGATTAATTTCATAGACTAGCTTTAATTTCAATCATTTACTCTCTTTGAAGATCTTAATTTAAAGGACAATGAAATTCGAGCTTTTAAACATGCTTGTAAATCTATCACTTTAACAACAAACAATGAAAATATAACCAATAGATATTTGCCGCTGGGAAACCAGTGCACTCCAAACAGTAACATATTTTTAACGTGATACGTATTTTAGGAATACTGTCAACTATTAAACACATGAAATTTTATGATATGTGTTTAGGTGTTTTTTGCTTGCTTGTTTTTGTGAAGAATGTCAGGGAAGACTAAGTCTGAACTCTAATGGTTCAGATTTTACGTGATAACTTGGAAAAATGAAGTCTTCCACCACAAGTGAAAAAGCATTATTTTCTTTTTTGTACGAATTTTGAAGAAAGATATTTGAAAATGCCACAGTGCAATCCATATTTGTTTTCCTATTATTCAATTTTGCCATCATTGTTCCATTGCCAATGAAAAAAAATACATCATTAGATAGCATCTTAAAAACCTTCTTAATTTATTTCAGCTCCAAGACTTGTGAGGTTAACCACTAAACTGAACAATGTTGCCGCAATGGAGGGAAAGGATGCCATTTTCAAATGTGCCGTCACCCCGGCTGACGTGAAAGTCAAGTGGTTCCACAACAACATGCCCATCACTGCTGGGCCCAAGTACAAACCTGAGCATGGAGGAGGGAGCTACTCACTTACCATTACATCGGTCACACAGAAAGATGCAGGAGAAATAAGTGTGGATGCAGAAGGCAAAAGCTGCAAAGCAACTCTTCAAGTGCAGCGTAAGACTGGATATGTTTGCTAAAATATCTGCAGTAATTTTCAGTTTCCAAGAAATCTAAATACAGTAAATGATTACATCCACCTCTTGCAGGTGAACCTGTCGTGTTTAAGAAAAAGCTGGAAAACCTGACAGTGGAGGAAGAAAGAGAAGTAAAACTGGAAGTGGTGCTCAGTAAGCCTTCAGATGAAGTCAAGTGGATGAAGAACAGTGTCGTACTGCAGCCTGAAGGAAACATAGAGATTAGAGTTGAAGGCATGAAGCAGACCCTGCTTTTCAAGAAAGTAACGTATTCTGATCGCGGCATATACTCTTGTGAGACTCTGGATGACAAGACCCAGGCAAAGCTCACTGTTGAGAGTAAGAATATTCCCTAATACGACTTGTGAGGAGAATATACTCAATATACCATGTGATATACTAACGAATGTACTTAAGGCTATCTTCTCAAAATGTGTAACTTCAGTACTGTTTTGCATTTACAAGTCACAGGGTTTTATTTATTTATGCTTAATTATAACACCAGATGTTTGTAGATTAACAGAAATCTTGTTTTTCACTAACTAGAGCTTCAGCTTTTATGTTAGGAAACTCCATTCAGTTAAAGGGGTCATAGGATGCAAAACCGAGTTTCCATTGTCATAGATGAATAACGATAGTTCAGTGGGTGAAATGGACGTACAGAGAAGTTCCAACCCCATCGACACCTCCTTTCTCTGCAAATCTCACAATTCCAAACTTCCACCATAAAACGGGCAAATACAAACGAACCCCCGGGTTGACGTAAACTCGAGGATGTTGCCTTATTTGGTTCTGGCCTGTATTTTTGTCACGCCCCGAAATGGACATACAGACCAGCCCACTGGTTCACTGGCCCAAGAACATGAATACAAGTAGATGTAAGACACCAGTTTAGCTGTTTAGCCTACAGTTGGGTTTACTTCTAGAAGAATTACAAAGCAGGCAGTTTTTGATAATGAGCCAGACCCACGGGCGTAAATGCAGTGTTCCAGGCTGCACATAAAAAAGGGAAAATTTTCACAGTCTTCCCAAGGATCCGAAGACTCCACAGGCATGGATTATTTTTGTGTATCAGAAGATCTTGTCAAAGTTTGATGCTAAGCTGTTCAAGCTGCTATGCCGCTGACCGAGCCATCAGCTCCGGGGCTGGTCTGGGTCTGGAGCCCCCCGCCTGCCTTACCATGCTTCCCCCCGCCTGCCCAGAAAGGCAGTGGTGGGAGCACGGGGATGTGGCTACCATCACCAGGTTGGGTTCGGTCACTCCTTCCCCCGCTGTTTCCCTACCGCTGTTTGCCAGGCTTACCGGACCAGCCCTGGAGCTGACGGCTCGGTTCTGCTGCACTGTAGTCGACCAAAATCCCAGACGATTTTGAAATTCCCCTGGGACATTTTTTTTTAGGTATGAAAAGTAGGACATGCTGGAAAAAGAGGACGTCTGGTCATCCTACCATATAAATAATTTTGATGTTTCAGTGAGTGAGTACTTGTTGCTATGATGTGTCTTTGCTCAGCAGCTTTGCTCGTTGTACACCAACCAATCAGCACTCATCTAAATATTCATGAGCATACCATAAAAGGAAGAAATCCTGTCGTTTCATTCTGTGGCTTATAATCAGGCTTGCATTAGGGCTCATAGAACATCAAATATGCCATTTTCAGCCCAACCAATGTTACACACCCTATTCAGAGACCTTAAGGACCAGCACCAAATACCCTATATAATCATTCTATGACCCCTTTAAGGTTGTTCTGAGGAATGATCAGATTAAACTGGATTGTCACAACAAAACATTTTATGATTATTCAGGGGGAAGAGTTAGAAAATGGCATCAATATAGTTTTGCCATGCTGATAATTACAGAGCAGATAGTTGACTCTAAAAAGAGTGAGGCTTAAAATTATTGTCAACCATAATTACCTCCTAAAAAACATCTGCTGTCTTAATTGCTTTTAAACAGAAAAGCTTTGCAGGCATGTTGCAGTTAGTAAGACAATATTTAAACCCAGCATTTATTGAATTATCAACAATTTAAAGGGTATAATTTGAATTGCAGACATCCCAAGTCTCCTGGAAGTTCCAGGAGTCTCCCTGATATAGATAGTTGTTCAAGGATGCTCTCAAGTCAGATAAATATCCCGGATTTTAGACTATGTGAGGTGGTGTTTTGTTAATGCGAGTGAGAGCGTGCAGGCAGTACAATAATTGGTGCACCATATGCAGTTTAGAACTACTTCAATTGCATGGACATGACAAGAGAGAGTGGGTAGGGAGAAGTTTACTATAAATAGTGCTATAAATAGTTACAGCTTGCGTTTGTTTCATATTCAAGTGTTATTAACTTAATTTTATTCTAGAGGTGAAATATAAATACCTAACAACACAAATGCAGTAAAGTTTATGGAAAACTGTTATTGTCATTTTCCATACTTTCTCAGTTTGTCATTGTGTTTTGATCCCAAAATGTTGTGTTCCTCTTCAGTGAAGAAGATTCAGTTAATAAAACCACTAACAGAAACTAAAGCTCATGAAACGGAGACAGTAACACTTGAAGTGGAGCTGAGTCAGGCTGATGTTGAAGGCTCGTGGACCAGAGATGGGGCCAAGTTAAAGTCAGGAGCAAACTGCCGCATCACAACTCTAGGGAAGAAGCACACCCTGACACTTTCCAATCTGAAACGGGAGGATGCTGGGATGATTTCCTTTCAGGCAGAAGGAGTCCATACTTCAAGCAAACTGATTGTCACAGGTAAATTATGCTGCCTGTTAACACTCCTCAAGAAATTACTGATCATTTAGTCACTGCCACATTTTGACTAAATGTCCCTGTCCTAAAGAACCTCCTGCTCTGATCTCCAAACCTATCATGGACATCAATGTTCCTGAGAAGGAGAAGGCAACTTTTGAATGTGAAGTGTCTAGAAACAATGCAGAAGTTAAATGGTTCAAGGTAAAATGTTACATGTGCAGTGTTTGCAAATGAAAATAATTTAATTCAAAAAGTAAAGCATTGTTCTAATATTTAAAAAAACAATGTTTATAAAGGATGATGTTGAACTGAAGCCAGGAAAGAACTTTGCTCTTCATTCCTTGGGCCGAAAGCGAACATTAGTCATCAACAAATGTACACCTGAAGATGGAGGAACTTATATCTGTCGGACTGCCGATGATAACACCTCTGCTAAGCTCACTGTTCATGGTAATTATTGAACTACAAACTTAAAACTGTGAGAATGCACTTATTTGGTTGTCTCTAAAATGGGTTCTCAATATGCCCCCCACAGCCAGAGACATCAAGATTATTAAGAAACTAGAGGATGTAGAGGCTGTGGAAAAGGAGAGCGCTTCTTTTACCTGTGAAATCTCTCATGATGATGTGGAGTGCAATTGGTTCAGAGGAAATACCAAAATAAAAGCCAACGACAACATCAAGATGAGACAAGAGGGTACATTTTAATAACGTAATGCTATTGTGACTTTTAAGTAAGTTTTTTCTTTTATAGAAAATGTTTTTATCATCTTACAGGTAGGACTTATGTACTGCTCTTTAAGTCTGTGACGCCTGAAGACATGGGTGAAATTAGATTTTCAGCTGAAAAAGCTTGTTCAACTGCAAAACTTAAAGTCAAAGGTAGGCACTTGATTCCTGCATATTGGTTACAGATATTTTCAAAAACATTAGAAACTGTATGGAGAATGGCATGAAGTATTAACGACTGTGTTGTAGCATTGCAACTCATTAACCGCATTCACAAAAGTCTTTAGTGATAGCTTACACCTACCAGTATATGTTAAACATTACTCATCCAATTGATCTAAATATGCTAATGACAGCAATCTTATATTCTAGTTCTTATTTTGTATAATAACATAATGTATGATTATAATATTATATCCTCACATTACTTGGCTTAGTATGTATTTTGAAGGAATAAAAAACATTGCATCATTCCGACAGTTTTTTTCTGATCGGTTCGACTGTCCAGTTGCAACATGCATTATTTTTTCTTTCCTCATTGAGGCCTGATGGCAACCCAAATACAAATGAACAGATCCAAACTACAGGTTTTATACATCAACATTCATGAATCTTTGCAAGAAGTCAACTAGTTTGCTGATTTACTGTGGGCACCTCTTTGTGGGATTATCTAGTAATTTTCACTTATTGCCATCAATGATTACTTTCTATTATGCAAAACAAATCTGTTAGTGACATGAAGTCATTTTTTATCCTAGACATTTGCCTCTTGTTTCATTGTTATCATGTTTTAGCTCTGCTTTCTCTGGCAGTGGCATCATTAAATGTTTGTAAGCAGCCGCACTATCATAAGCTTTGATACTGTACTTTGCACGAATCGGCCTTTTCTGTGTCACAACTATTAGTCATCAATCACACCATATTCATGTTACCATAGAGCTTCCTGTGAAGTTTGTGAAGAAACTCAGAGATAAGATTGCCATGTATAAGCACCGCGTACATCTTGAGTGCCAAGTTTCACGTGTCAGTGCAAAGGTGAAGTGGTTCAAAAACAAGATGGAGATCAAACCCAGCAAGAAGTATGATATCAAAAGTGAAGATGTGTACCGTAAGCTCACCATCAACGACGTGGACTCTCATGACGAAGACATGTATACCTGTGACGCTGAAGATGACAAGACATCCTGTAAACTTCTCGTGGAAGGTAAACCTCAAAAAACAGTAAAAGTCACTTGTAGTTGTACTGTTGTAAATAAATACACCACAAAAACAAGCCATCAGACTGCAAGTCAATGAGGCATAGATCTATTTGCCAGTGTGACATAATCTACTAATGTAATACTCAAACATTTACCAGTCTGTAATTTTGTTTATTTTCATAACAAAGCTTATCAACTAATTGACTGAGATCCAGCATTTCATTGTCCTATAACTCAAATAACAAGTTTTGAACTACTGTGGTAGAATTTATCTAGGTTTAGGTTCCCAGGTGAGACCTGGGTATTTTGCTAAACTCCTTTGGGGACTTGGATACTTTTGTGGGCAATGATGAGTCATCTTTAGGTAATAAGTTGGAAGAAACAGCCTTCCCTTTCTGAATCAAAGTTGTATTTAATCAGATTCCCACTGCATTAAATTAACACCATTTTCAGCACAAAGTGATCAATAAAAGGATCTGAAAACAGGGCAAACATTGATGGTCAGTTTTTTTTGTTTTTTTTTTGTGATATATTCTGGACATCCAGATAAGAGGAGAAAGGTTACTATGGTGATAACCAGTGAATCAGATCTTGTGGTGATGCAGGTTCCTGGATAAACCCGGGAAATTTAAATGAGTGATGAGTCTAAACTGGAAATGTCCAGCAGAGGCATTTTAATTTACTGCTCCGGTTAAGATTAACTCATTATCAGAGAGAGGTCAGTGAAATGGAATATGTTGAGGAATCATACTACAGATGCCATTTTAAGAACTTGCAGGAGGGAATTTCTATCTTGAGAAAATCATGAAAAAAAAAGATTTGCTTCCCAACAAACCCCCCATCCACAAATATTCAACTGTATGGCTTGATTATGTAATGTAGCAGGAGAATCAGATGAAAAAGTAATATTGGCTATATAACACCCATGCAGTTTATAAAATAACCGAATATGTAAAAGAGAGGCCTATTTAGGACTTGTACAGTAGGGATTTTTATTTTTATTTTGGATACTTGGATATTTCAGTGATGCTGTTTTAAATCGGTTAGTTATTTAACATATCAACAAATGATGCTTTGATTTTCATTTTCACATTAGGGGAAAAAAACATGTGTTTTATCTTTGGTTATATATCTAACTAACTATTCAATTAATAGTAGTTACCTTCATTTGCTGTTTTTTTGTCAGTTTTGGTTTACAACCAAACACTCATGATCTTTGTACGATCCCTACAGAGCAGTCCATCAGTATTGTGCGGGAACTCGCCGCTGTTGAAGTAACAGAGCCCTTTGCAGCTGTTTTTGAAATTGAAGTCAGTGTGGAATTAGTGAAGCCTCCCATTTGGACTTTGAATGGAGTTCCTGTGCAGGAGGGTGCTGACGTTGAGATGGAGAAAGAAGGCACCATGCACCGTCTCACTTTTAAAAAGACCAAAGCATCAATGACCGGGCCTGTGCAGTTCACTGCAGGAAAGAGCAAATCTGTTGCTCAGCTCAAAGTCAAAGGTGACCATTTTTTAAAGCTAGAGCATGAATTAGTACATTTGGTCATTTTCTGTGATAATACTCTTATCATGTATTTTTCTGTATTTTTAGAGCGTCCACTTGAGATTATAGAGCATATTAAAGATGTAAAAGCAAAGGAAAAAAGCTGTGCATTGCTCTCTTGCAAATTTTCCGCTGCACCTAAAGAGGTGAGGTGGTTCAAGGGACAGGTTCCTCTGGCAGCATCAGATAAATACACCCTAAAGCAGGATGCTACGAGGGCTCAACTTACTATTCAAAAGTTGACTGAAGAAGACAGTGGGGAGTATCGCTGTCAATCAGGCCCTGCTGAAACCAAAGGGACTCTAACTGTTGAAGGTGTGATTAATACCTTATAGAAATATATAGACCCAGAGAGCTCATTATCCTACTCAATCTGCTTTTTTCTTTCAATTTCTCAGTCCGGGACATAAAGATCACCAAACACCTGGTTAATACAGAGGTTGACGAAGACAGCGATGCAACATTCACATGTGAAATTAACTATACTGATGAAGACGCACAGTGGCTCCTGAATGAGAAGGTGCTATTCACCAATGAAGTGAACACCATCACACATGAGGGCATGGTCCACAAGCTCACCCTGAAAAACCTGGCACCTCAGGATGGGGGCACTATCACCTTTCAAGTGCGTAAAGTGAAAGAATCTGCAGAGCTGAAGGTTAAAGGTAAGGGCTGCCATTGACTGTATTTAAATGATTGTCTTTGGTTTCTTAACTTATTTATGTGTGAAAAAAAAACAGATGAAACTACAGTGCATTCTTAAAGTGTTCATATTCTTTGAGCTTTACCATATTAGGTCAGGGTGTAAGATTACCTAATATAGAAAAAAAAAAATTTTTTTCTGTCTATCACACACAATAATGCATGATTCTGGAGTGTAAGAACATGATTAATACTGAAGATTATGTCTACATATTTTTCCCTTTTTCTTAAAATCTAAAATATATTTTTTCCCGTTTTACTCCAATATCTGTAAAACATTTCCAACTGAATCAATTACCATGAGAGATCACCCGATTGGTAAAAAAACAAAAAAGAAGAAAAAGTAATACGTCTGCCGATGTGTTGTTTAAATTTACTGTAAATATAGATGGTCTTTGAGGCCCTCAAACAATAGTAAGACATTTTAAATGGGAAAAACAGTATATGAAATCAAGATGTATGGGAAGAAAAACAATATTTTAAACATTGAATTGTTCATTTAACTCTGTTTAATCCAAGTAGACAATGAAAAAAATACAGTACTTAGTTAGTCATAGGCAGCCATCTTAACTGACCAATTACAAAAGATGAGGATTAATCGAGGAAGAAGTCAAGTTGTCCATGTTAACTTTGGAGTAGCTGGAAAGATCTAAAACCTCAGGTGGGATAATCTGTTAGGTGGATACTAATTGTACTGTACATGCCAAACATGTAATGTTTTTAGTCGAGTAGTGGGAAGAAAACCAGTGTTAAAAGAAAGCTATTAAAAAGTTTCTTTCAAATATAATAGAGGGCCAGATGTGTCCCTTAAACTTACAGTCAGAGCTATGATGGAATGATTTTAGATCATAGAATATTATGTTTTAAAAGTATCTACTTAAGATTTAAAACTCTTTTAAATTCAGAGTTTGTTGCTAGAGAAACTGAATGTATACAGATGTCCTTTTTGCAACCTAAATAAGGTTAAATTGCTTTGTAATGAAAAAGAGATAAAACTATTCAGTTCCTAGATCTGCAAATCTAATACTGGCGATAGACTCCGAATGAGTGTAACTACATAAACAGGTATAGCTCCACATCTGCCTGAATAAAAATGAATGCTACAGTTTTAGATTATTCTTTTTATGAAATGTTCAAAATAATTTTACATTTACTTCCTCTTTGTTAGGCTACAAAATAAAATCCCAGTTGTAATGACTCAGAACAGTGGACCCCTATCCGGCCAGACAGACAGTGGAATAACTTCAAAAGGCGTTTATTAAAACACTAACGGTTAGAGGATCTGCAGCAGGAGCGACTAGGGGGTCTAAGGCAGGTAACTCTAAAGGAAGGAAAGACAGATTAGTGATCATGAAAGCCTGACGAAGGAAGATCTAAATGCGTGAGTCACTAACCTGGTTATATAGTTCAGTCCATGCCCAGAGAAGGAGATAGATACCACCTGGTCAGGTGACAGTTCGCACCGGTTGCCGCACAGAGAGTTCCAGAAGACGAGCCTGGAAGGACACACAACTGACTGAAAATGAGATCTGAACAGACGAAGGAAGGCTGGATAATCTAAATGGCGAAGTCAAGACGCAGATCACGTTCAGTCCACAATAGGATCCAACAGAATCTGAAGACAGGTCAGGCAAACAGATAAGAACAGAGACAGGCAAGCTCAAACGTCCGAATACAAAAATTAGTCAGGATCAGGCAATCAGAATGCTATTAGTAACCTTAAAAACTCTCAACACCAAAGGCTCAAGAATAATCTGGCACTGATGGCTGCGACTAAGCAGTTTAAATAGAAGCAGAAGCAGGTGAATCAGATAAGCAGTGATGAGAAAGAGGGCAGACTTAGACAGGTGAATAAAATGAACAATTAAGCCAGCATCAGTGCCAAGATCATTACACCAGTAGAAAATATCACAGGTTGTGGTTGTAATATCACAAAATGTGAAAGATTTAAAGGGTTTAGATGATTTTCATAGCCCCTGTACGAGTTTTGTGTAAATATAAAAAAGCTTATTTCTAGACTTAACACAGTGAAGACTGAGATATACTTTGTCTGTTCTTTTCTCCTCCATTTCTCTAAATTCCCTGCAGAGAAACGAGCCGTTTTCCTTAAGTCGCTAGATGATGTCACGGGAGAGGAGAAAGGCATGATAACTTTGGCATGTGAAGCAAACAAACCAAGGGTTTCCCCAGTATGGAGAAAAGAAGGTAAAGTCTTAAAAGCTGGATCAAAATATGAGCTCCTTCACACAGGAAAGTCTTTGGGACTGATCATTAAGGATGTCACCAAAGAAGATGCTGGAGAGTACAGTTGTGATCTTGGCACAGAGGTCACTAAGTCAAAGGTCACTGTAAGAGGTGAGTACTTTTGTGGTTTAGCAATCTACAGTCTTTTAGGTAAATAAAACTTTGCTTATAAAGATATTTTTTTCTTTACCTAGAAATTGGTATTGGTATCACCAAGAAACTGAAATCCGTTGAGGTGAATGAAGGAGACGCATGCAGCTTTGAATGCATTCTGTCACGTGAGAGCATTGATGACTGCTTGTGGTTAGTCAATGGTAAACCGGTTACAAACGGAGGTCGCTTTAAGATCACAAGTCAGGGACGCAAGTACATGCTGACTGTGAAGGATGTCACCCCTGCTGATGCGGGAGAGGTGGTCTTTAGCATTAAAGACCTGAACTCCAAAGCAACACTAAAAGTGGAAGGTATGCCACATCATAAGCTTCAATGTAATCGTTTCTCTTGTGTTTTTAAAGGTGTGCAATCTATTAATGTAAGTTTAAGTAATCTGTGCTCAAAGACCTACACTTAGAATCCATCAGTTTAAAATATAAAATTAGATTTGGTGTACTGATTTGCTGTCATGTGTTGTAATGATGACCTGAACAAAACTACAGGTGTTCTGAGATTTAAAACAAGGAAGCGAATGGAGCCCTGCTTCATCCGTGTTCACAGATTTATATTAAGTTCACGGCATAGTCGGCAATTAGAATAAATGGCTTCCTAAAATTATGTCTTTAACTAAAAATGCATGTTTTCATTGGACAGGAAAAGCATCATCCCTTTCAAACGGACTTCAAAATGTATCTGTTGTTTGTGGTGAAGATGCAGTTTTTACCTGTGAGGTGACCCATGCTAATTCTAATGTAAAGTGGGCCAAGGACGGTAAATCCATCAGAACAAGTATGAAGTATGAGATCAGTCAACAGGAAAAGGTCATGAAGCTGACCATACACAATGTGTCTGCTGGAGATTCTGGAGAGTACAGCTGTGAAGTTGTTGGAGGTGCAACCACACGAGCTAAACTGGAAATTAAGGGTAAGAATGGAATGAGCAATCTCTGTGAATTTTTTCTGCATAGCTACAACTGACAGGTATACTTTGTATCCATTTCTATATAAATATATATATATATATATATATATATATATATATATGATGTTCTGTATTAAATCTGTAGTAAAGCTGAAATTGCCTATTCATCTTACAAAATCATCTGAATGTTTTCAAGAAAAAATGTTTAGAGTAAACCACTGTCAATAACCGCTTGAACTGAAATCAAAGTTAATTTAACAATCAATGTTTAGGGTTTTTTGTCATGCTTGATGGTAAGGTGAAACTGAAATGAATAAAGTAGAAAACTTACTAGTAGTGTGGCACAAAAGGATATAAAGCGCAGGCAGAAAACAGACAGATTGGTGGAAGAATAAAGGGTAGTCAAGGGGGCGTCTGAGCTGTGGGAAGGAGTGTACTTAACAAGAATTGATCTGAACAGAGATATAAGGAAACCCAGGGGAAACGCTAACAGAAAGGAAATAAAAGTGCAAAGTGCACGTGAAAGGACTAAGAAACTGCTGAAGAATAGGACCTACTAAAATGGCATCATAAACAGCAGTGAAAAGAAGAAAACACAAGCATAAGGGAAACCCCCAAACTCCAACATCTAGAGAACATAAAGTTTGACGTTTGTGGATGTTATAGATTTCAGTTTCTTAAGTAGGGCTGATCTTATTTCAATTTTGCGTTGCACTAACTCACTCCAGGGTTTCATTTCTTTTCATAACTGTGAAAGCTTTATGGCGGCGAACCCACTTCAAGCTTATTAATGCTAACTAAACCGCTGGAGTAAAAATTTAAATGTCTTATTTTTAAAAGGACTGAATGTAATAGGACCAACACAGAGTGGCCCTGCAATTTAAAATTTCTGTTTGTTAAATTGTGAATACATTGAAAATGCAATAAGTGCCCAGTCCTAGTCTTAACATTACTTTCTGTCATGCATTTATAAATGATTTACATTCTTTGGTTTAATTGTTAAGATAAATTTGTACATTTACTATAACACAGCTCTGAACATTTGTCTTACATTAAATCAGACTGATTTTTCATGTTTCAGGCCAAATAAACCATGAGGCTCACCATAATATAGTGAATACAATGGAGATCCAAGATGTTCCTAATGTTTTGAAACTAACAATTTTGCTTTTTACCAGAACCGGTCCATAAGTTCACTAAAGTGCTTGAGGACATCGAAGCAGATGAAAAGAGCTCTGTGACCTTGCGCTGTGAAACAGCCCAATCGCCATCCATGGTGACATGGCTGAAAGGCCACACAGAACTGAGAGCTGGAGGTCAATACGAGATGTCCCAGAAGGAGAGAGTCCTGACTCTCATTATTAAACAGCTGGGCGAGGCAGATACTGACATCTATACATGTGACGTGGGCACTGCTAAGAGCATGGCAAAGTTGACTGTGAAAGGTAAGAACCTGATAACTAAAACTCAAAGGTACAGTGGAGGATTATAACACAATTTTGAAAAGACCCACCCACAACCCTGTACCCGCTCCTAAGAGGAAATATGTGGCCATTTCTCCTCGTGCACGCTCTGCTTAAAAGTTGCTTTTTGTATCACTCATATAAGCTTACGTTCCAAAAGAAGATTTGCAATTTTTCCACTATGTCAGACTCACCACCGATAAATGAAAATGGGGACGAGCATGTTTACTTACGTAAAGATACCACCAAAATAATTGACAATTAGGAGATCCACTTATTTTGATGATCCACCCGGAAAAAAGAACCTCCTCCACTATACGTTTAAAATACTTCTGACCCAAACAAACCTAACCTAATATTTTCATTTAACTATATTGGTTTTGTTGCACAGTTTATTTTATGCAGTTCCAATTAATGGTATTACAATAGCTCATTTAAATATCTTTTTTTTGTTGAAATAAAATTATAATTTAAACATTATTTCTTAATTAAAACAAAGCCCCATAACTTTAGCTAAAGAAATTAAAATTTAATTCTTAATACAAATGTTCTTAATAAAAAATAAGAAAGGGATGTGCTTTGGGCAATCAAAGGAGACAAGGAGATTTGAAGCATGTTTGATGTGTATACAGTGATGCACTGTTGTAAGACATAAAAACCTTAAGGCTTAAGCCAAAGTTCAGTAGAAGAAAGAACAGAAGTGTCTAAACCAGGTGAAAATTATGACTTAAATAGACCTTCTGTAAACTACAGATTAAATCCTAAGTATTTAAAGCGAAAGATATATTGGAATATTCTAAGGTTTTTGGTTACCAGAAAATGTGATTATATCCATAGAAAATATAATCCGTAACTGAAAAGTTATTAGCATAGAGTTATGTGTTTTATAACTCCAAAACTTTGAAAAGCATTTTCTTAAATGGAGGAATTAAATAATATATAAAATTTTTGTTTGTGTCTCTTATCTTGATTACGTTCAAAACTTACTCATGCAGCATTGCCAACAACAATTGTGAAACATTTGGAGAGCCAGGAGGCTGAAGAAGGAGCCAGTGTTTCTCTGCATTGTGAGCTCTCCAAACCTGGAGTCCCTGTGGAGTGGAAGAAGGGAACACAGGTCCTGAAGTCTGGAGAGAAGTACCAGATGAAGCAGAAGGCCTCTGTGAATGAACTCATTATCACCAAAGTAGTGCCAGAAGACAGTGGAGAGTACAGCTGTGTGTGTGGAGACCAGAAGACCACAGCCAGCCTGAAGATCAAGGGTAGGAGGAGGAATAATTATCAGCTAACCTTTGTTCCTCTATGTCTTTGTTTGAGCTTGTATGTTATACCTGTCTTGTCTTTTGTGTTAAGTTTTACTTTGTTTATTTACAATGTCCCTCCAGAGTT